TGACTGGCCCAAATTCACGCAATGGGCTGCATAGTTGAGTGAAGAACTGAATCCAGGTCTATTGAAAGTCACTGAGAGGGCCCAGAAAGATTCAGGAACACTCCTCCATTCTCAAAGCTTCAATATAAATTTTCAGGTCTGTGACAGATAACTAAAACAGGGATGATAGCCTTTGCCCAAGTATACATGCCACAGCCAGTTTCAGTGGGCCCTGGGCAGAGTGTTCCTGGGGGCCCCTTTCCCTCTGCTGCCATTGTGCCCCCGCCACTCACACCTCCCCACTATTCTCCTCCCCCACTACCTAACTATCCTTTCCCCACCCTCTTGCTCAGTTTCTAGTCCTCCAAATGCTTACTCACCCTTTCCTGACCAGCTAGACTATAGGTAGAGGGAGGGCTCAGAACAAATAGATGGGCAGCAGGGGAGTTGAACAGGTGGAGGATAGTGGTAGCAGGCCTCACCAGAAGACCTGAACCTTGGCAGCCCCTGCTTCAGGATATGCTGATGCCAGCCCTGATACATGTACTTCAAACTTGAGTCAGCTTACTCACATACAGAGGAAGCATGCCAGTCATCATCCACCCACACAGGGCATCCAATGAAGGAGACAAATGATGCGCTTGGCACACAGCCTGTCATTATACTACAGTAATCATTACCACCTGGATTCTGACAAAAGAATTCTGTAGTATCAAAGAGCCAGCTCAGTACAGTGAGCAGAGTGCCACATCAACATCTGGGAGACAGAGGTTCAGATTCCCTCTCTGACAGAGAAGTGTGTGATGCTGGTTGATCTTGGGGCACTATAAGACAAACCTATCACAGGCCCCGTTCACACGAGGCGATTTGGCCCGGGAACGGGACAGTTTGGGGCCGGATCAAACCGGCGCGATCACACCACAACATCTGGGAAGCGTCTTGCTTCCGTGGCCAAACTGTCCCTTTCCCGGGAAAAAGCGCCTCAAACTGAACCACCTACCTCGGTGGTTCAAATGGACGAGGCGCCTCTTCCCGGGCGTCTGATCGCCGGCGCGTCTTTGCGCCAGCACAACCCCGGGCCGGAGACGAACTGCGCATGCTCAGGCATGCGCAGTTCGGCCGGCTCCCGGTTAGAGCTGTCTTTTCTCTCCGGCGTTTGATCGCGCCGGGGAGAAAAGGCGGCTCGGCCGGGGGATCGTGGGATCCCGCCGAGCCGTATCAACGTTGGTGCGGCTTTTAAAAGCCGCGCTTTAAAGGGCTTTTCCCCTGCCGTGTGGCAGGGGCCTCAGAAGGTCATAATTATGAAAATAAAATGAATAGCTTTGTAAGCTCTTGTGACATTGGGTTTTTATACATACACACACACAAATAAATGATAATGTAATATACGGATATTGAATGATGGTTACATTACACAACTGTCTGGTCCACACAAGAAAATCAAAATGCGAATTCCACCGTGCATATGCACTTGCTCGCATTCGGGCAGGTGTTTTTTACCCGTAGCTACCCCATCGTCAGTTCTTCTAACCCTCCTTCAAAGGCCCAGACTCGGAAAGAAAACCGAGACTCTTCCGAGGGCTCTCTTCTCCCCATCCGCCCAACTAATACCTTCGTCCAGGGAAACTCGAACTCTCCGAATGAGGCAGCGGCCGGGCAGCGTTTCCCCCTGCGCGTCGATCCAGCGCTTCCTCGAGTACATGCGGACAAAACGGCTGGCCCAACCGGGCTGCACCGCCACCAGGCAACAACAGGTTGGCCCCGGGCTTGGCCCTTCGCACTCGGGCCGGTGCCGGTAATGGAAGCGGGAAAAGGCGCCGGCCTCGACGGCCTGGCTGAAGTAGGCGCGGAGATCGGTGGAGCGAAGTTGGGCCGGAATGCGGCTCACCAGACAATATCGGCCTCCGGTCTGAAGGGAAAGAGAACAAGAGCTAGGCGCCGCCATCTTGTCACTGCTAGAATTGTGGTCATGTGAGAGGCCGGACGTCGGCGCGCACTTGCGTCAATGGGAAGATCGGTTCACGCGTCACGTGCGTTCTGACCATAGAGATGAAAGAAGCAGAGAACGGCACTGGGCAAAGGTGTAGGCTTGTCACGTTGGTGCAAGGACAACAGGGTTCGACGAGACGACGGGATAGAACGACGTCTCTTACTTAGTCATAGAAAATAATTATAAATAGCCATATTAGTCCTCTGTGCAAAATCGCCACTCTCCCAATTGGGCCTGGACTTTCCCGGGAGTTACAACTGCTCTCCAGACAATGACAATCAATTGAGAACCGACAATTCCGCTGCAGGAAATGGCAGCTTTGGAGGGCAGAATCTATGGCATCAAATCCCCGCTGAGTTCCCTTCTCTCGCCAGGTGCCCGGCAGCCAACCCCAAATCACCAGGAATTTTCTGACCTGGAGCTGACAATTCAAGGCCCGCAGAAAATCCATAAAAGAAACACAATCACGTCATAGCTTGTGATGGCAACTGCAGCGTGAGATTATTATTAATTGTTTTCCAGTGTGAGAATTCCTGGGGATCTGAGGGTAGTGCCTGCCTAGTTTGAGTGGACTCGGAGTTTGGGGAGGGCAGAGAGCTAGGTGGGGCTCCTCCAAAAGGCCATTTTCCCCAGGGCCAGGGGAACTGTAGCCTAGAGAACACTTGCAATGCAAGGAGAATTCTGGGCTCCACCTGGAGGTTGGCAGGCAGCCCTATGTAATACAACGTAATATTTGCCTCAGTAAAAGGTATTACACGATTTAGTTCCTATACATAGAGACAGACAAAAGGTAGACCAAGAGATCAGATTTCCTCCCGTCTATCTTTGTAAATGTTGTAACGTTCATGCCAGATGATGAATCCTGATAGGTGCATGCACAGTGTTTTGTGCTAATTTGGTTGGCCCTGTAAAAGGTATTATTGCATGGATTTTATGCTTGTTTTTGAAAACGGAGACTGTAATCCTTGTTCGCACTTCCAGTCTACAAGAGGCATGTCTATGTTACGTCTAGAAGACGAAGAGGAGATTGGATTTATACCCCGCCCTTCACTACCCAAAGGTGTCTCAGCTGTTCCCAAACTCCTTTCCCATCCCCTCCCCACAGCAGACACCCTGTGAGGTAGGTGGGGCTGAGAGAGCTCTGACAGAAACTGCTCTTTTTCAAGAACAGCTCTTATCAGAGCTACGGCTTGCCCAAGGTCATCCAGCCAGGTGCAAGTGGAGGAGTGGGGAATCAAACCCGGTTCTCCCAGATTAGAGTCCGCGCACTTAACCACTACACCAAACTGGCTCTCTAAATTTGCAGGGATTTTTAAAAAAACCATAGAGATTCCAGAGATGAGAAGTTTGTGTTGTGGGACTCCTTTAGTGCTTTTCAAGTTGTATGTTCTATTCTGGCCCATGCCTATTGTTGTTGTCAATTAAGAGTTGGAAAGGGTGTGGTATATGTTTGTGCATATGGTTGTGTTCCTTTGGGGGTTGAATTTGAGCACATGCTAGACATTGGCTAGGACTGGCAGTCAATTCCTTTGATGCTTTAGAATTGACATTTTTATTATTTTTAAGGCTGTTCTGTTTAGCAGCTGCATGGCAGGCAGAAATTCAACAGGTGCAGCTTCCATGCTGGAGAAATGCCAAACCTGTTTAATTTCTGCATATAATTCGACACTGGAGTACAAAGCACCCCATTAAATCCTGGAGCATGTGAAGTAAAAATGATCTTCAAGCATGTGCAGAGAGTCCTTGGTTTAACTGTTGAGTGACCTGCTTGAGCCAACCTGAAATTTAAGATTTGGGGGCAAAGTTTCTCTGAGGACCTACAATCTAGGGTTACTAACTGGCCTGGTGGAAAAAACGGCAAAATTTTCCAAACTGCAAAATATTTTATTTGTTTTGTTAAAAATAATAACTTAAAGCACATTTTATTGCTACATACACATCACAGAAAAGTACACAAAATATTGACATCGGAAGTCAGTGTAAAGAAAGGATAGTACACTGGGCAACACACTTGTTTACATTGGAGCTGGAGAAAACAAAGGCCTAGGTTAGAGAATGATTTCTATGATGAACATAAGATAAAAGGAACCAAAGTTTCCTTTCCTAGCAATTTATTTCAAGCAATTGTTGAATATTTATTTCAGACAGCACACAGAAGCTCCAGATTTCTTTCTTGGGACATCTGCATGTAGCCTTGGAACTCAGTCTGAGTAAGAGAAATGCATTGACTAGACCTTGGCATGTTTAGAATCTGGATTATTTCCCTTATATTCCTGGAAAGATGGATGTGTGGGGACTCAGCTGGGTGAGAAGGGTGTTTTGGAGAGGCTTATGGGCACTTTTTGTTCCATTAAGCCGAACAAAATAGTTCCAAGAGTACCTGCTTCACGTTGGATTTGCCTTCTTAGACACCATATAATCACTTTCAGCATGTGATGCAGCAATAGCACACCTCAGAATGAACACATTTGTTTTCACTGACTTTGGCAGGGACTGAGTATTTGAAGATCAGAAGACAGGAAGTTTCTTTAGGAACTCCTTAGTTAAATCTATGTCTTTTATATTTTTCAAAAATGTGCAACAGCTTCACCAAAACTACAATTCCCATGATTCTCTTTGGAGGGGGAGGAGGGATCAGTTAAACTGATACACGAAGGGATAGACATTTGCAGTGTAGACGTGCCCTAACAGCTTGCCCTGCTGGCCTTGATCAGGGAAATGGGATAGCTTTGTACGGTGCCCATACTCCACATCTGAGGATGGTGACTTGCTGGCAGGCATTGGCACAGGATTCTAAGTCAGCTTGCGATGCCACACAACAGTTATTACCGGTCCTAACTATTTCAGTATAGCAACATAGCAGGAGCACAGGACTGGGTTAATAGATGCCTTGTGGAAGACTGCTGTGATTAAGATCTACTGTTCCATTCCATGCCCCAAACTGTGCAGCTTCTGGGTGTAAAGTACAAGGCCCAGTGTGTTGTGGGAAGCCTCAAAGCCGATCTCACTCAAGGTGTCATAGCCTACCGACCTATTTCATCACCAGCATTTCTGTAAGCAGCTGCAGAATGTCTGTGTTGCCAATCACTGGCTGGAAAAAAAGGTCAGTAATGAGTGGAGGAGGGATGGATTTCAGGGTAGATGCTATCAGCAGGACACGAGCAAAGCAGTCTTTGTCCTCCAGATGGGAAAGTGCCAGGACGTCTTGGAGTGCTCTGTGGGCTTCACGCTGGAGGCTCTCAATGTAAGCAGAGGCCTTGAGACCAGGCACGTCTGGGAGAAGAGAGAGAAGAAAAAGTCCAGCTGAATTGAGCCTCGGCTAACATTTCAAATAATTCAAACCCTTGGATACTGGAAACAGACAAGGCCCAAAATGTATTCAAGCGTACTCAGTTTTTCCTAATGGAACACCTCCTCTGGCAAGTAAGCACCATTGCATAGACTTGAGAAGGATCCTGAGTAGATCTGCTCCCAGGATGTGTCGGACATGGGCCATTCAACAAACAAGAGGGTTTATCTATGTTGACATTCTGAGGAAGTTGTCTTCTTTGTACCCTATAACCTCACCCTATAGCCTTGTGTGGCTCTAATTTGGATCAGGATCGTGTGGAGAGGGGAGTGGTTTAATCCTTCCACCTCTGCATGGCTTTATTAATTAAAACCAGCCCCCCTTGATATTAATCCTTAAAAAAAGACAACCAAACATGGATACCTGTCTTTTTTCTTTCCATGAAGAGCTATAATTGTGTAGTGAGCCCAGTTTCAATGGGGACTCAAAGAGGCTTAAAATAGGGCTCCCCTCCTCTTCTGAACAAAAACTCATTGAAGTAGGCTAGGCTGAGTTACTGGCCCAAGGTCACCGGATGAGCTTCCATGGAAGAGCAGGGATTCAAACTTGGGCATCCCAGATCTGAGTCAGACAATCTAACCACTGCACCATGTTGACATAGCTAATGGTCAGTTACTCAATCCAGACATCACATTTATTGGGTATATAATGGTGTGTTTTAAATGTATAAATAAAAGGGTAATGAATGAATGAGATGAACACATAGAGAGTGTCTGACTATGACTTGGGAGTACTGGATTTGAATCCCTGCTCTGCCGTGAAAGCTTGCTGGGTGACCTTGAGCCAGTCACATGCTTTCAGGCTAACCTACCTCACAGTGGTTCTTGTGAGAATAAATTTTCCTAATGCGGTGGCCATTTTCAGCTCTCCATTGGCTGTGCGGTGTGCTCCATCAGCCATTGGCCCATCAACCACCACTCAAGAGTAATTGCGTGCCATTGGCTGGGTGCTGGGTCCACTCCTCTTCCCCGCCCACTGCCACTGTTCCCTGTCAGAATAACTACCAAAACGGCTATCTCTCCTGACAAAGACAGTTGTCTTGCTTGGCTCCTGTGGGATTAACATTTCCCTCAGTGGCTGTTGCTAGGCGACCAAGCTTGGTTCTGTCAGTAAAAAGACAAAGGAATGAAGCCCTTTCCAGGCCTTTATGGGGAACTCATTGGGGCCAGTCCTGACAAGGGTTGCCAGCTTCAGTTTGGGAAATTCCTGGATATTTTGTGCTGAAGTCTACAGAAGCCAGGGTTTGGGGAGGGGATAGGCCTCAGCTGAATAGAATGCCATAGAGTCCACCCTCCAAAGCAGTTATTTTCTCCAGGGGGGGAGAGAGATCTGTTGTCTGGAGTTCAGTCATGACAACAGGTGATACCACAGCCAGTGTGACATAGCAGTTAGCATTCAGAGCATGGTCTGAAAGACCCAGATTCTTGCTGTGGAAGCTGAGTGGGTGATTTTGGACCAGGCACAGACTTTTAGCCTAACCTACCTCACAGGGTGGTTGTGCAGATCAAAAGGGGGAGAGGAAAATGATGTAAGCTGCTTTGGTCCCCACTGCAGAGAAAAATTGTACTTTTTCTTCTGGGGAACTGTTGTTGCCAATCTCCAGGTGAGGGCTGGTGATCACTCAGAATTACAGCTGCTCTCCCCATGGCAGAGATCAGTTCCCCTAGAGAAAATGGTGGACTCTGTGTCCTTATACCCTGCTGAGATGGTCCCCCTATGACAGCCAGTGTGACCTAGCAGTCAGAACTTCAGAGCAGGGTAGAGGCTGCAGGTGGGGGGGGGGGGGGGGGGAGATGGAAATCTGAAGGGGCAGATAAAGGTAGGTTGATAATTGGCTGGGAAGGAGATAGGGTTGCCAACTCCAGGTTGGGAAATTCCTGGAGATTTGAGGGGTGGAGTCTCGAGATGGTGAGGTTTGAGGAGGTGTGGGACCTCAGACAGGTACAGTACCATAGACTCCCCCCTCTAGCCATTTACTCCTAGGAGCCATTGTTGCTAATCTTCAGGTGAGGGCTGGAGATCACTCAGAATTACAACTGCTCTTCAAATGGCAGAGATCAGTTCACCTGGAGAAAACAGTAAGCTCTGTGTCATTATACCCTGTTGAGGTCACCACAGCAAATTGACACTGAGTGCCCAAGGCCAGGGCACCCACCCAGAGTCTCTTTCAAAAATGAAGTGTGTACCCTCAGGGAAAGGTTATGGGTATCTGACTCATACATTACATACTACACAGGTTGGCTCATGAGTTGTGGGTACCTGATTCGGATTGGAACCATGCTGCACATGGTTAAGGGAACAGGACATATTGCTGTAAAATACTCAGAGGAAGGACAGATTAAAATGACACAGAAAGACTGATTCTCTATTATATACTTCCCATTTCAGCAACTTTGAAATTTTAGGATACAAACACTGCTTGAAAGGAACTTGTATCCATTTGTAATTACAAAATATGGGGACATACTACAGGAAAAAATTTTTTGTTTCATTTCAACATTTTGTGACCACTAACAATCTTAACCATGCATGAACTTTTAAAATGGGACCCACCCCCCTTCCCCTTCTTTTGACAGTTCACTGAACACCCACCCCCATTTTGTTTCTGGGGGGAGAGAAGACCCTCAGGAACAGCACCAGGGGGGAGGCAAAGTGAGAGGGGGTATCAGCAGAAATCACTGTCCTGTCTTTTGAAGGCTTAAGCACTGTTAATTATTTATACCCTTTGAGGTAGGTGAGGCTGAGTGTGCGTGACTGGTCGAAGATCCCCCAGTGAGCTTCCATGGGAGAGTGGGGATTCAAACGTGGGTCTCCTAGATCCTAGTCAGACATCCTGATCACTACAGCATGTTGGCTCTTTTAAGTTTTCAGATCTGCACAACTGGATTCCTGCCACTGAATGCAAATTATGGGACAACTGAAATGGCAGATCATAACAGCCAGTCGGCCAGTCTAAATGTTGGGTGTGGATCAAACAACCTTGGGAAAGGAACTATATGAATGTGCCTCAAAAAGAAGAACAGCTCTGTGTTTTTGGAGTCAGTGGGAGCTGAATCAAAAAGGACACTGCTGTGCTTTGAAACTGGAACCACCTGCTGTGTGCTTGCTTCTGCACACTTGCTCTGCATCTCCTTATCTGAATACCGGCATATTCTCCCCTAAACAAGAAATCAAGGGGCTCAGTGGTAGAGCAACTGCTTGGCATATAGAAGGCCTAAGGTTCAGTTCCTGGCATCTTCAATTTAAAAAGATCATGTAGTAGGAGATAGGAAAGCTCCGTATCCAAGACTCTGGCAATCTGCTGCCAGTTAGTACTGCCTGTGATAGATCAGTGGCCTTCTTTCGATGTGGTATAAGGCAGCCTAATGAGTGCAGGAAACTAACTCTGGAGTTTTAAACTGGGATTTTACACCGCCATTCAGGGAAGTCAGGAGGATAACATTACACTTTGAAGGCCTTTGATGGGGGTTGCAACCAGGCAAGTCTTGCTTGCTAGAATGTTATGGATGAACCCTCTTAAAAACCCTATGCCTATTTTTCCCTTCCAAGGCTTTGCTGCCACACACACACACACCCCGGCCAGGCCTATTCACAAAAAGCTTATGATGTTTTCTAGGAAAATGCAGGAAGGTCTGGTACTTACTGGGGTTGAAAAGCATAGCCCCTTTCAGGTAGGCATACTCCTTTGGGCTGAGGTCAAGGCTCCAGAACTTGTTTAAGCTGCACTGGAGACGTTGGACACTGGCTAGGGTGGGCTGAGCCCTCTGCAGCTCCTGCCTCTTGCACTGGCCATCGAGAAGGATCCTCTTGAGCATGCTGGGAGCCGGGGTCTCTATGACTTCAAAGGTCACCATCTCTTGGACGAGGCCAAGGAGGAAAAGGGGAGCCCAGCAGCTGTCCAGGAGCAGGAGCTGATCTTCCCATGGGAGCAGCTGGAAGGAAGGGAGATTCTTCACAAAGCTGACAGTCTTCACCAAGACATCCGAAGCTGCTTGGCAGGTGACTTGAGGTGTCTGGAGGCAGACGGTGCGGCGTTTCTGGCACAGACAGCGCTGCTGGGAAGGGCTGCAGCTCTCCCGCTGGTCTTGGCTCAGGAGAGTATAGAGGATGGCATTCTGGCTCTCAAGGCACTGGCATTTCTCATACTGCATTTCTGTGACGGCGCAGCTAGGCAGTCGCTCCGAGGCCAAATGCTTTGCTCACACCTGGGACTCGTGCAGGTTTTTTAGCACTGTTTGCTTCCTCTGCCCCTTTTTGGCTGAGCTCTGCCTTATAAGGCTCCTGTGGGTGAATGAGCCACCCCCACCTCCCGCCAGCAGCCTTGACCTCCCTGTGAATAGCAGCAGTTCATTGAAAAACAAGTCAGCCCTGAACCCATTGGCTGAGCCGCCACGTGGCCCTCAGAAGGGTTTTCTCAATGAAGGTGCCAGCCAGGGCCAGGAGGCCTGAGGCCTTGGCTGATTGCCTTCCCTGGATTGCCCTCATCAGTATCAACAAAGTCATTACCCCAGGCTGTACCATGGCACCAAGGCTTCGGGCGTGCAATTAACTTTCAGGAGACAGCTGGGGTCGCTGCCAAAAAGGTCACACACAAACACAGCGGTGGCAGCAGTGCCAGCTCAGTGGCAAAACAGCTCATAAAACTCTAGCCTTGGAAAGAGCAAACTGGAAGTCAAATTATCAGCAGATTGTTTGTCTAATGCAGATGCTTGCTATTTGCTGATAATGAAGGGGAGGGGAGAGAACAACGAAATGGCATCCAGTCAGCAGTGTGGTGCAGTGGCTGGAGGAAGCCTTGGGCTTAAACTCCTGCTTGGCCAGGCAGTGGGTCTCTGAGCCCAACTCACCTCACAGGGTTGTTGCAAGGACAACAATGAGGGAACCATACATGCTGTCCAGAGCTTGAAGAGATGGATTTTGCTGGACTGGGTGGAAGGAGAGCTATACCCGCTCCAGCAATTTGCTGACCACAGAACACACAAAACCACCTTATATTGGGTCAGAATATTGGCTTATCATAGTCAGTACTGCCTACTCTAGCTGCGGTGGCTCAAGTGGTTAAGACGTTGAACTGCAGGCTGTGGAAGGTCGGTAGTTCAGCAGTTCGAGACCCGAGTGTGCCGCGTGACGGAGTGAGCTCCCGTCTCTGGTTCCAGCTCCTGCCAACCTAGCAGTTCGAAAGCAAGAAATTGCAAGTAGATAAATAGGGACCACTTCAGTGGGAAGGTAACAGCGTGCCGTGCGCCTTGGTGTTTAGTCATGCTGGCCACATGACCACGGAAACGTCTTCGGACAGCGCTGGCTCTTCGGCTTTGAAACGGAGATGAGCACCGCAACCCTAGAGTCGGACTCGACTGGCTTTCGAGCAAGGGAACCTTTACCTTACTGTCTACTCTGACTGGTGGTGGCTCTCCAGGGACGTAGGTGGAGGTCTTTCACATCACCTGATCCTTTTTCAACTGGAGATGCCAAGGACTGGACCTGGGGCTTTCAACAGGTGAAGCAGATGGTCTGCCACTGAGCCATGGCCCCTCCTTTGTAGAGCTATACGAAGACTAGGGCTTGTATTTCCTTCCCAGTTGTTTTCTGGATTACAGCTCTTTCCTTCTGTTCTGCAGAAGCAAGTGTGCCAAAGGGAGGGGAGTTTTACACTGACTTGTGCAAGCACAGTGGGAAAAGAGGCTGCAACCAGGAAGCTCCATAAATACAGGGCACAGTTGATCCCTCTAGGACAGGGGTCCTCAAACTTTTTAAACAGGGGGCCAGTTCACTGTCCCTCAGACCGTTGGAGGGCCGGACTATAGTTTTTTAAAAAAACTATGAACAAATTCCTATGCACATTGCACATATCTTATTTTGAAGCAAAAAAACAAAACGGGAACAAATACAATATTTAAAATGAACAAGTAAAGTTAAATCAACAAATTTACCAGTATTTCAATGGGAACTATGGGCCTGCTTTTGGCTAATGAGATGGTTAATGTCCGGTTCCATATTTGTCACTGCTAGTCGTAACAAGTGATGCAAGGGTGCATCAGTTAGTCTAGATCTGGTTGGAGATTTCAGATGTTTCATTCTGGAAAAAGTCTGTTCACAGACATAAGTGCTTCCAAAGATGGTTGCCATTTTGAGTGCATGGTTCCTGAGATTAGGATATGTCTCAGAGGGGAGAGATGCATAGAAATTAGGAAGGCTGCTTGACTTGAATGCTTCTTTCAGAGAGTCACAATTCTGCAGTTCAGCCAGTTCCATTTGGTAAATTGTATCCACATTTTCGATGTCAATAGAAAATGGGTTACAGAAAAGCTGTATGTCCTGTTCATGAAGATGAAGCGCACACAAAACAAAAATTCCCCCTCTGCAAGCGCTACTTTGTGGCTTGCAAAAGAGGGGAGGGGGTCCACTGGAAACGGCAGACTGGGCGTGGGGGGGGTCCTTCCCCCTGAGGAATCCTTGGCACGGGACGGGCTTGCTGGATAATATCCCGGGGAGGGGAGAACAGCTCCTTCTTGGAAAAAGGGACTCAGGGAAAGTTCCCAAGAAAAGACGGGAGGAAGCGCTGGCAAAGAAGCACAAAGTGCCCCCCCTTTCCTTGCCAAAATTCCCCTTTGTGGCTACAGAGGCAGGCCGGGGGGTGGGGGGAGCGGCTGCAGAGAGCCCTTTTTGGTTCCGGCAGTGGGGCGGCTTGGATTGAGGGCACCGAGATCCGGCAGTGGGGCAAC